TCCTATTCCCATCCCCATCCCCATCCCCGTCCCCATCCTCATCCCAATCACATCCCAATCACATCTCAATCCCCATCCCATCCTATATCCCAATCCCCATCGCATCGCATCGCATCGCATCGCGTCGCATCGTATCCCATCCCATCCCATCCCATCCCATCCCATCCCATCCCATCCCATCACATCACATCAAATAAATCAAATCAAATCAAATGGACAGATTGGAGAATGGAAATATGCTGGAGTTTGCGAAAGTGTATCCCATGGATGCAGTTTATGACAAGCCTGAAGATGTTCCCGAGGAGGTAAGTCAGTGAGTGCCTGGGCTTTTATTAGTTGTAGAGTTGCCTGTTATTGTCTGTGGTGGAGGGCATTGTGGGAGTTGAACTGCGGTGGGGTTTTAGCAGCTGCAACTCCCGCGAGTGGAAATTCATATGTGTGGGGTTTTAGCAGCTGCGACTCCCGCGAGTGGAAATTCATATGTGTGTATATATATATATGATGAGTCGGTGAAACTCCGACGAAACAGTTTGTCACAACCCCTCGTTTGTTGTCCTCTTCTCCCTCTCTGCCTACGGTTTACCGGGCAGTTCTATTTGTGACGATATATATATATCATACAGCTATTCTATTGTATCATTTGTAAGTAGTAAAGTGGGCTCTGTAAGATGCCTCCTTAGACTGGGGAAAAGGTGGCACACGGTTTGAGTGGCTCCTCAGCTGTTGTCGGTCCTAGGAGGGACGGAAATTTGGTGGCACAAGTCACGGGGGGAAGTGCAAATCTGTTTTCTGGGTTGCTGTTGCATTGTGCACTATTGCATTGTGCTCATGGGAGGAGGCCAATTTTCAGTACGCATTGTGAGATGTGTTGGTGGTCAAAATCTTGAAGTCCCTGTGTTGGTGACTTCGCATGCTTTTTTGTGTGTCTCTCTCTCTCTCTCTCTCTCTCTCTCTCTCTCTGAGATGTAGGAAGTGAGAGGCTGGGTATTTGTCTTGCTTGACTTTTTTGTTTGCTTGTTTGCTTGCTTGTTTGTTAATTTGTTTGTTTGTTTGTTTGTTTGTTTGTTCGTTTGTTTGTATGTTTGTTTGTTTGTTTGTTTGTTAATCCCAAGCCTGGAACATGGCTGGACCTGAAGTTTAGGGGATTGTGAATTGTTGTTATGTTTTCATTTTTGATAATAATAATAGGTGCGAACAAACAAGAGGTATGCTGCAGCGGACGGGGGCTTTACTGTGCAGGTGAGGATATAGCTCTTTTTTTTCGATGTCGAGTATGTGATTTATGTCTTGCAGTCGTGGGCTTTGTTGTTGTTGTTGTTGGTGTTGTGTTATCGTTTTGTTTTTGGAAAGAAATGTTGCTTGAGGTATCATTGTTGAAATTGGGACCTCAATTGATCTGATATACTGTCAGGATTCAAACTACGGTCTGTAGTGCCAGGTCATGGGTGTACCCCTTTCAGCCACATGGGCTGCTTTGTACTGCATGCATTAAACAAGTAGTTGCAGTAGATTAACGACTGACGGTGGATTGCCTTCTTGGTGGGAGTATGCCTGCTTACATATGGCTGACTGACAAAGGACAATTGCGTCTGGGCGTAGTGACCGGGAAAGTGAATGATGATGTTCCATACCTGTTTCGTTTTTTTTTAATGTAATGTACTTGTTATAGATTCTGTTCCTTCAACTTACTGCTTACTGTCTCTCCTGCAGTACTATTTGGCCAAATGAAGACTGTACTACATTATGTATGTATCATCATACTATCATGACTTTTTTTTTTTCTTCTCTCCTTTCTAGTTTTTGTACTCTTTTTTAATATCTTCATGTTGACCTGCTGCAGTTACTGTTTTTTTTTTTTTTTTTTTTTTTTTTTTTTTTTTTTTTTTTTTTTTTTTTTTTTTTTTTTTTTTTTTTTTTTCTTCTTTGTTGGCTCTGCATTGCATGGGAATATGCCTGGCTGGAGTGTTAGTAGAATTTAGTTTTTTTGGTTCTCGTGGGCCTCATCTGTGACCTGCGAGCTTCAGTTTTTCCGTTACCCTTTGCACCATTGAAAGAAAATTGTTTTTAGTTCTGTGAGCTAATGTAGTTTAGTGTTTAACTTTTTTACTGTTTTGGAATCTGTGAGCTGATAGCTTTTAGTTTTTTGGTTGCCCTTTGTACCCTTTTTTTTTTTTTTTTTTTTTTTTTTTTTTTTTTTTTTTTTTTTTTTTTTTGTGTGTGTGTGTGTGTGTGATCTATGAGCTGAATCAGCTTATCTATTTCTTTTGGTTTATGCTACTTGCAGCAAGTTGCTGATAGAGTGAAAGAAGATTTTGGTTCGATTGATATTCTGGTTCACTCTCTTGCCAACGGTCCTGAGGTAAGTCCCCCACATCAGCATTTTGTTTTTTTACTATTTTTACTATTTTACTATTTTGACTGTGACCACCACTTGAGCGGACAGATTTGTAGTTGACCTGCCTGGGCTGTAGCCGCTGCACCCTGATTTTTGTAGAACACGTTTGAAAATTGAAAATAAAAAAAAACGGAGAGGTGTGTGATGGAATGTTGAGCTTTGTTTTTTTTGTTTGTTAAGAGGTCCAGGGTGTAGTGGAGGATGGTGGTCGGGGAGTCAGGAGGTGCCGGTGGTACTCTACTAATCCATTGGGAGGTTAAATGAATTGCAAGGGGACCCAGGGGGAGTCACGTGAGGGGTTACCATGATGACATAACAATATGAGGGTCACATCGGAAGTCTTTAACAAATTTAAAATATTAAAAAAAAATATATATGTACCAGCCGGGCCGCCCGGGTCCCGGGTGGCCAGCCCGTGCAAGGACCACGGAAGGTCCCAGCAAAAAAAAAAAAAAATCTAAGAAATCCAAAAAAAAACTATATTATGCAGGAAAATAAACTGAACGACTTTTGCCTCAGGGTTCCATCGAAATTCTTCACCAAATTTAAAGTAAAAAATAAAAATTAGAAATATTATTTATTATTTATTATTTATTATTTTTATTTTTTTGGCCCGGCCGGGCAAGTGACCCCGGGCCACTCTGGTTAGGGTTCACTATTTTTATTTATATTTTTTTTCATTCCCCCCCCCCCTGGCTGGTCTGAAACAGTTTTCACCTTTGGCAGTAGCCGATGCAGATCCCAGGGGTCGATCCCTTGACCTCAGCTTACCTGTGTACAGTATCTGTACAGTTCCCTGGAGTTGAACCCGTGACCTGCACGATAGCCAGTGGTAAGTAGGTCACCGTAGGTTGTAGGCTGTAGGAAGATTCGAACTGTAGACCTGTAGGGTAGGAGTCCAAGTAGAGTCCAGAAGCCCAGCTTTAGTCCTTCTAGAA